GGCACCGACACTCGTGAAACCATGTTTGCAGCTGTGCCCCTGAGACATAGCATCCACAAGGAAATGCCTCTGGGGTAAAAAGAGAAACGATAGGCTGCCACGAGATTGGCCATGGTTTAATTGCAGGTGCAAAAGATTACCCCGGCACTTTTGGCACCGCCCGCATAGTCTTTGGGCTGACTTTTTAGCCAGGAGCACTAGTTTATAATTTTACAACCAAGTTATCGCGGCATGCTGCCTTGGCAGCAGGCTTCCTTTTCCACGTCTGGGCCGCCCCCATCCTTCCATCCAGGCCATAATTTGCGTAATAAATCCGGGGCAGTGGCCCGCAACATGGAAAGTCCTGATATGCAACGTCCTTTTGTTTTTATTTATTTGTGTGACGTTTTACTCTTGCACACATACAAGCATGTCCGCATATACGATTAGGACATTGCTGTATGTTGTGCTGTGTCAGTGGCTTCATGGAGCCGGTCTTCATGGAGTGAGGGCTGAGCTATCAGACATCCCATCCCGCTCGAATTTTGTTCGCAGATCTGGAGCTGGAGGTAAGTTCACAATGTACCTATATCGATATCGCGCCACGATTTCTCTAACCACAGTTCGTTTCCAGTCACCCTGATTGGAAGTTATCTTTACATTGATGGAGGCGAAATTTCTCAACGAGAAGACGGCCAAGTCCGGGGACGGTTAAGCAACCCAGTCAACACAACCATCTCGATTGACATGTCTGTCTCATGGAAAAGCGAGTCAGTTGCGATGCGATCCATCCCCCGGCTAATCGAAGGTGTAGAAAGTAGATCGAGGGAAGTCATTTGGACCAATTCTCAGGCAGGCGAGTTCTACATCTGGGGAGGCTATGTACCGCATGAACTCGGCGGCGTGAGTTCTCAAGATTACATCTGGAAGTTTACCGCCGACGGTGATGGCGGTGGGAAATGGTCCCAAGAAACTCCAACCAATTCCGAAGTACTCGCGGCTTTGCAACAAACTCAAGACGGTGCATTTACTGTGGCGCACGACAAGGGGTTTGTGTTAGGGGGCGTGATGCCTCCAGCACATTCAACGCTCAAGGTTGTCCCCGATACGATAACATGGGATTTCAAATCTAAGACAGTTGAAAATGTAACCAGGCCTGGCTTCCATATTCTGGACAGAGAGGCAATGGTTGCAGGATCAAGTGCAATGTTCGTCCCAGGATACAACAGACGCAGCGGAGTAGTCTTGCTCCTTGGAGGTCATATCCTTCCAGTGGGTGGCAACGCCACTATCGAGCAGTCACAGCCGCTCGATTTGCGCAATTTAACCTTTTTTGACCCGATAACCCACGAAAGATACTGGCAACTTACGACGGGATATATACCTCCTTCTCCCCGGACCCGGGCTTGCCTTGCTGGACCTTTCCGTACACCAGGGGGGAATTATGATCTGTAAGCTGGCCTTGTCTAACCATCTCTGTTCCTTGAAGGCATGCGTATTTCTTCCAGAATCTAACTGGTTATTTTCTAGGTTTTTCTTTGGTGGTGAAAATGAGGCAGCAAAGACACGATATGATGATGCCTATGTCTTAAGCCTTCCAGGTTTCGTATGGACCAGAGTGCCTTCCAAAGCCCCGGGGGGTCCACGATCCTATCATTCGTGCGTAGCTGTTGGCAGAAACCAAGTTATCAGCGTTGGGGGGACCCCTGGTGGCGGCGACAACGACTGGAAATCGGTCGATCCGATTCCTCAGGGTCTGCTGCTGTTCAATATGACATCTCTGAGATGGCAAACCGAGTATGTTGTAGAGGGTAATAACGTTGCGGGCTACCAGCGAGCAGCCAGCATTGTGAGATGGTATATTCACAAGTAGGATGAAGTTTGGTCCAGACTCAATATTGTTACGTGGGTAAACTGGCACATGTCTTATCACAGCCCACTGGAGAAGATTCAATGGTCCTCGCGAACAGTCGAAGGAATGTTTAGGAATCTAGCAAGCAACAACGCCACCACTGCGCCTGAGCCTGAGCTTCCAACCGACACCACTACTGGCAACCCGAACGGTACTGACATCACGATTATATCTGTAGCTACCGATGCTGAGCTAAGCTCGGGGTCCACCCCTCTAACGACCATAGTGGGTGGGACTGTGGGGGCGGTTGTGGTTCTCATCCTGCTGGCAGGGCTTGGCTGGTTCCATCTTCGCTCCAAGAAAAAAAGAGTCACAGACAACAATGTGAAGATGGAATCAAACAATTCAATCGAGTTTGTCGATAGAGGTGGCAAGGGATATTATCTTAACGGACATCCCACGGAGATAGAAGGCACCACTGCGAAAGACGTTTCGAAGCCCTTTGCAAGATACGAGATTGAGGCCATGCACCTTTCAGCTACGGAGAGGCAGGGTACTGTACCGAAGGGTATTTCAGAGCACTATGCGTCACAAGAGCTTGACGCTAGCCATGGGTATCATGAGTTGATGGACAGCACTAGCGTACGAAGATTGGTTTAAACGAGAGGAGTAATGCGTTGTAAAACTATGACTTTTAATGTGAAACTGAACGTTAAGGAGGAACAGTTTATGAACTGAGGATGGTGTTAATATAGGACTGGAACCTCACTGATTAACTTATTGCCCCTAAGTGACCCCTGAATTAACCCAGAATTTTCCCGGCTCAAGTGTTTGCGAGACATGCACACGCTATATTTGAAATACCTTAGACACCTAACTCATTGCCGTAAAGGCCCAAGGATTCACTACCCTCCTCTCAAACCTCATCTCCCCGATCTCATCTTCATTATTCCCCTCACCACCTTTTTCATTCACCACTCTCACGCCAACGCTCCCACACTCAGCCACAGTCCCATTTCCACCCCCTAACCCCAATTGCATCCCACAACCAACCCACTCCCTCACCTCCCCAACATCCGTCCCATTCTTCATCCCACCGCAGCTCAGTCCCCCATTTTGTGTGCACCCCAATGCGACGTAATCATCGCCCCACACCTCCAACATATCTTTGCTTACCATCCAAACCTCACCTCTTTGCCCTTCTTTTACCCCAATGGCAGCAACATAAGGCCTTTGCTCCTCTGTCTCATCTACCAGCCCAACAATACACAGATAACCACCTGCTTCAACACTGAAACGGCTCGCTTGGGAAGCGCGAGGATTAAACAGCAGGGCGCGGGCGGAGAGGTGGATAAACCAGTTGTCGAATGGCGTCGAAAGATATGATATTTTAAGGGAAAAGGGCGCGGAGGATTCACCACACGAGGCTGGGAAGGCCGGGATAGGGGTTGGAAGTGATGAAGTGGTGGCGGTGGTTGTGTTGGCCCAGCGGACGGTGGTGTTGGCAAATGTGAAGGTGGCGTTTGCCATGAAGAGACGGGGCCCTGCGGTCAACGGCGCCACCGAGGTGGCTCTGGTGGTGTTGAGCCACAGGGGGCGGGAGGAGGTGATGTTTGACAGGTGGGGGAGTCCCGTTCCTGCAGCGGTTCCTGTGATGAGGGCAACCTTGTGGGCTTGGAGGGAGCTGTTGGTGCGAGAAAAGAAACTGGGGGCCGCGATGTTGAGTCGCCAGAATGGGAGACGGAAGCCTTGAGAGGGCTTGGAGGTCGCTATGGTGGCGTTGAGATAGCGGCCCGTTTGGCTGTTTTGTGGAAGAATGATACTTGCTGAAATGATATCCCTGGGGGCCGTGGTTACTGTGATTAGGGTGGTTGTGTTCATCACGTACACCGCTGGGCTCTTTCTTGGACTCGTTGATGAGACAGTGGTGTTAAAAAAGCGGCCTGTTGGTGAAATTCTGTTCGTGTTTGGACTTGTTCCGGTCAGACGACTTTGCGGTTGGGCTGTCCCCCTGGATTGGCTTGTTGTTCGTAATGACGACGATGAGTCGAGCGCCCCAGAAGTCCGAGAAGCCAGTCGGTCAGTACTCTTTAGAGAGCTGCCCACTTTCGACGGTGCTGCCGTACGGGTCACGGTCAAGGTGGTCGTCGATGACCTGATGGTTGAGGTGGTTGTCACGCGTGCGATGCTGACACAAGAACATGACGACGAAACGTCGGCGATTGAAGAGCAGAGTACTGTCGGGGTTATGCTGGAAGTCAGGTTCAAGGAAAACCCGTCCTTTGTGTACTTGCCCCTCCATAGCTTTCCATATCTGCTATCGGTCGCAAGTGTGACATTCTTGGGCAAAGTCGTTGCGTTATAGAACTGCGTTGTTGTAACGGTCCCAAACTGAGTAGTGGACAGAGTCGTAGTCACGGTTCTTCAACAAATCTTGCATTAGTATTTACCAGGTTCTCATGAGGATAATTGGGGCAAGCATACCGTTCTGCGACTTCGGCGGTGATTCGGAAGGTCGAAACGCATTCTGGTGGGAAACTCGTTTGCATCGAGTTATTTGTCCCTGCAGACAAAGTGACCACATTCGAGCAAAACCCAGCCCAGAGATACAACAAGACAAGTCGCATGTCTGCTATTTTTTCCCCTTCTGTGCTCAGTTCTGCATTCTGGTGGTTAGTTCGGTCCTTCGCCGACAGGAACTGAAGATAAATCCTCAACCCGACGAAATTTGCACGCGCAGGACGTTTAAAATGGCATACAGGGAGCAATGCCTTGGTTTTAACAATTCCATGATTCCTTTTCCAAGAAACCGTTTCTATGACGGCATTCGACAGTTTTTGGTTTCCTTCAAATTGCATCTCCTTGTTCTTAGTTGCGGACTTATACCCGGTGTCCAATGGAGCCCTTGAATGCCCCTGACTGATGTCAATCTTTGCCCAGCCTGGTGCATTTCCATCAAAAACACCAAACTGCCTCCTACAAAAATGGAGATATTAGTGACGGTGAGTACTGTAAGAAAGATGAGGCGGTGTAATTCAGAATTGAATCGAAGGTTGTATGAGTAAGAGAAGCCCGTCCCAAAACACAGACTGCTGATTTGTATCATAATATCTAAATTCTGGACAAATCTCATCAACCAATCGCTACGACAGAGGATAACCCCTGTACATCTTCCGTAGTATAGTGGTCAGTATGTGAGCTTGTCATCGGACACCGATTTCGCTCGAGACCCGGGTTCAATTCCCGGCGGGAGAGATAAAGAGTTTTATTTTGCAACCATTTGCTAACCCCCCTACTGCAAGTCGGGCGCCCTCTTTTGGCATTCATGTTTTTTATATACAGGTTGCTTCTATCTGGTGTTCACACCAGGTTCATGCGTGCCAACCCATGTTGTCAAACTGCCAATCTGCGTTTCATGGATGGGTGTTGGACAGTTTCGGTTTCTTCTTTCGTTCTAGGCCCAAGATGGGTCCCGCTTTGCCACGTCCCGGCAGTGAGTTTTAGCGGGAACATGGCGGGGAAGCCGTTGACACAAGCATTGAACAGCTGAAGACGTTCAGTGGGAGACTCTCATTTTGCAAATCGGAAGACGGCGAATGGCGCAAGGTGACTCGGGCTTTCAGGCAGATGCGTGCCATTACCCCGGTGAGTGCAACGGCCTGACCTGCTGGATAAGTCGACGCGACCGCGCTTCACCGTCCTCCTTCCTGTTGCGGGCTGAGGGGCCTTATCGTCGGTGAAGCTCTCCATCGCCAAGTACCGTAGTGCCGATTTTGGGACAATCCTCTTCTCACTGCCAGACCACCAACACAGGCAAACCTTGCCACTGTTAATCAGATAATAAAATCGGGTTTCCCCTCGCCCATTTGCTCTTTTATTCTCACCCACTCGCCTGTGCTCACCACCTGCCTTTACCCGTCTTACATCGTCAAGCTCAGCGACCTCCCTTAGCTAACAACTCCCTGCCTTTCCCACCCCGCAAATTCTATCACCAAAAAGCTTACCCCGCCTCACTACCAACATGGCCGGATCCCAGGGGTTGTCCATGGACCTCCCGGTCATCGACCTCGACGTTTTCCTCTACAAGCCCCGCGACTCTATCGAAGTGCAAGCAGAATGTGCGAAGGCCGCCAACGCCCTCATCACCTATGGCGCACTGGTGCTTCACGATTCGCGCGTGTCTGAGGACGACAATACCACTTTCCTCGACCTCCTTGAAGATTACTTTGCCCAGCCAGAAGAAGATCTCAAGAAGGATGAGCGCCCAGAGCTCAGTTACCAGATCGGTGTTACACTCGAGAACACCGAGAAGCCCAAATGCGCCGTCGATGAGCCATGCCTGAACGTCATTGAGAGGCTCGCCCCTTCAGAGCGCCCTCTGGATATCAAGGGCCACGAGCCCGACCCCAAGTGCAGATTCTTCTGGAGAATGGTGGAAGCCCCTCCATACAAGACTCAGTTCCCTGGCTTGAACGCTGACAACATCACACCTGATGCGCCGCACATCAAGCAGCGATGGGGACCTGTCATGAACCAGTGGGGGGCATCGATGAAGAACGCGTAGGTTTTTCTTTCTTTATCCTGTTGGATCCCGGATCATTTAGCTTACATTGTCCCGTGCTTCAGCGTGGAAGGCCTCACCCAGATGACTGCCGTCGGCCTCGGCCTCCCAGCCGACACCTTCAAGGATGCCGGCCGCTACGGCCCTCATCTTCTGGCCCCTACTGCTTCCGATCTCCAAAAGTACGGCAACGTCAACACCATCCTCGCTGGCTTCCACACCGACCTCAACTTTCTCACCATCCACGGCCGCTCCCGCTACCCCGGTCTCCATATCTGGGCCCGCAACACCGGAAAAAAGATCCCCGTTAAGATCCCACAGGGCAACTATTTGCTAGTCCAGGCCGGTAAACAGCTCGAACACATTACTGGTGGTCTCATCAAAGCCGGCTACCATGAAGTTGTGGTCAATGAGAGCACCGTCAAGGTGATCAATGACCGCAAGGAGAATTCCCCTGACAGGCCGCTGGTGAGAATCAGCAGCACCTTCTTCTGGCACTTGTCCAGCGACTACGATCTGGTGCCTATCCCCCAGTTGAAGGCCAAGGCCAAGGAGGTCAGAGCTGCGCAGTTCAATTTGGGTAAGGATGAGGGTGAGGAGGTCGAGTACCCTGCTCTGAAGGTCGGAGAGCAGGTATCCAATGAGCTGAAGCACATTGCACTCATGGCCAAATAACTGGCATGATCTTTTAGTGACATTTCCTTTTAGTTTCGGGTGTGTGATTCAGAGCACGGCATATGACAGGTGTCAAATGGGTTTCACAGCATTAGCACTGCGGGTTTTGGACATTTCTGTTTAGAGAGGCTATGTATAACGTCTCAACATGGTGTCTTGGACCCTGGGTAGTCGACGAGCGAGTCTTCAATGACTGTTGTATAACAGAAATTCAATTTACCTCTTGTACAATCTGTGGCGCAACCCGCGACGAGAGAGATAGGATCTGGCGGGTGGCTTTGAATCCAGTCAAGCAAATGTGCGAGGCCGTGATCAGCATGGTGTTTCTTTTGTTGTCTTAGGGGCGCATGTACTATCTGCTCGGAAAGCGCTCTTGTCATGTGCATTCACTCTCTTTGCAAGCCCAAATGCCATATGAAGGCAAGTTTCACCGTCATATAGCACATACGACCATAGATGGCTGAAAACTCGGGATCCCGTTCGCCTATCCTAGATAAACTGCTAATCAGCTTCTTATCTGTCGGGGTAAGCTTCGCCCTACCTTTTTCACTAAGTTATTCCGCTGACGTTCTAATCTCTAGAAAGTATTTAATACTATTATATTTAAAAGCCTTAACGGATAACTGCCACGAGTTAACCAACGACGGGTCATGCGGCAGACGGCCGCATGTGGGACATAGGACGCCCCAAGCCAATTATCTAGAACAAGCAGACCAGCCAGGCTGAATCAATGTGCTAGGCCGCCAAGACACGCGAGCAGAATACAGAATGCACGGTGCTTGGTGGTGATCGGAGACATAGCACGACGAGCAAGAAACTGCTATGATTTGAAACGCGGTTGATGCGGTGCTATTTGTATCGCATGGGGCCCTCTTACTTCGTAGGTGAGGGTTAGATTTGCCAAACACTATCCCGGCCTCCGATCTTCATTACAAGCATCCGATGGGCCACAATATTGACTATCAAAGGAGAGAACGAGTCGATAAGTGTCAAGGGACTGTGCTGCATAGAACTGCCTGGCTGAGAACTAACAGCATACGGATCCTGCATCACCACCCAACCTCCTCTCAAATTCATAGGTTTCAATCCTATGTATGAATCTCCCTCTAGAAGCTGCCCACTGCTGTGCACGCCAGTGTTCAGCTTGCCTTGTGTACCTTGTCATGTTGAATGTGTTCATGATACTTGACAATCCAGGTACCCAGACCCACCAAGACAAACGTATTTAGGTAAGCATTGGTTGGAGATAACTAGACGAGAATCCTACAGCGCAAAACGAAAAAAATAATTTCATTGGCAACTAGACAGCAGTGAAAAAAAAATAAGGAACCTCTCTCAAAAGGGTTTTGAGGAGAAGGGGTGCAAAAATGATCTCTCCCGCCGGGAATTGAACCCGGGTCTCGAGCGAAGTCGTTATTAATGACAAGCTCACATACTGACCACTATACTACGGAAGATGTACAGGGGTTGTCTCCTGTCGTAGTGATTGGTTGTTGAAGATTTTGTCGGACTTTAGAATTATATTGGGACACAATCATCTAATATCATCGGGATCTCATGACATTTGAACCGATTTCTCATGTGAATTGTTCACAATGCACAGAAGAGCCAATCCGGGCCCGTCCCGCACTACTCATGGACCAGGGTGACAAAGACAATAAAGGTGGCCCCCCATCAATGACGGATGAAGCAAAATCCCAATGTCTATTTGCTCCTTTGTGTTGGGCCGTCGAGTACATTTCGAGTATTTGATGTGGCAGGGTGGATGGGAGTCTACTGGCCCAATGAACACAAGCCCAGTATGTTGTGACGGAATCCGAATATTAATCTTCGGAACGCAAATTATTGCCATACAGTTCGGTCTACTGCACGAGGTACCTGAAACAGAGAGATATATATGGAGAAATCATCGGGACTCCAGTTCCGACAAGCTAAAGCATCATAACATCAGCCATATCGTATGATCAGGTTTTCAAGGATGTAACAGGGCAGTACATCTTCATCCGCCAGCTGGGATCGGCGTGTCATGTTGAGCTCAGTTAGTTTGTCACTTGTCAACAGGAGAGTATCCAGTTCGCAAGGTCCTCCATCGGCGTGCCCGATTGGTGAAGAGTTGCCTCGCAACACGAGATACACACTGGACGCAGACATCTAAGCCAGCATCCAATTCAACAACGAGGCCGCCATCGTTGACCTTCTCCAAAGGAGTATTCAGGGTAACTAACTCAACATTCCCACCCTTTATTTCCACTCAACCCAGATCGACGAGAAGAAAGGGAAATACTCGCCAGTGTCGTACTGGTCACTTTCCAACGGCGACCTCGATTCCTTCATCGTGGACTATGATCATCCCATTCCGCGCCCTGTCATTCTTCAGTTTTTCAACTAGGTCCTCACCAGCATCTGTACACGGCCTACCACGACCATCTCGGTCCCATCACCCACAACGACTGCCACGCGGGCAACATCCCCCTTCACTACCGTAGCGCCCAAACCCCCATCCCCGAATTCCACCTCATCGACTTTGGCCTTGCAACCCCATTATCTCTCGCATTCGTCGCCGACGACAATAACTTCCTGCTTCTAACACCTGGCAACCCACCCGAATGGGATATTCCTCGCCTGTTGAGGACCTTTGACAAGCTACTTGCCACCTGGCCCCCAGAGTACCAAGCCTTCCTTTACTCAGGCGGAGACCCAATTGGCGCTGCCTACAGGCTGCTCTTGGATCTGGACTGTCGACTCCAAGATCTCCTGTTACGGCACCGGCAATTCATCCACCAGATGAGGGGTTTCTCGCAGCGCTTAACCCTTCCCGACCTGCAGCCCGTCATCGAGTATGTCAACAACTGTCCAGTGACCTCGGACTTTCATGATGCCGAGATGAAACGCCATCAGCTACAGAGTCAGGCATACCTGACCCTGTGTGACCACAATTTCACGGCACCGAAGACCTACAACATACTGGAGAAGATTGGGGGTATTAAAGACTTGCCTGGGCCATGGCACATTGGTTATC